GAGCGGCGCCTGCACGAGCTACGTGAGCGCCGAGCAGGAGGTGGTGCGCGGCTTCAGCTGCCCGCGGCCGGGGGGAGAGGCGGCTGCCGTCTTCTGCTGCGGCTTCCGCGACCACAAGTACTGCTGCGACGACCCGCACAGCTTCTTCCCCTACGAGCACAGCTACATGTGGTGGCTCAGGTACCGGCCCTGGCCCTCACCCCACCTAGAACCCCATTCCAGTCTTAGCCCCCTCACCTCAACTGTCAACCCAGCCGTGTGCTAAATAAACCCTCAGCCCTCACCCAAGAGCCCACCCCAACATCAGCGCCAACCCTCACCTATCCTTTAGCCCTTCAGGCCTAATCTCACTCCACCATGGACCAACTCCACCTGCAACTGCTTCTCAGTTCCGTTCCCCCATCCTGACCCAAGCTATTATTCAGATCCAAGCTTGAACCTCAACTCTTATCACGAAAAATCTGCACTCCATCCCCACTCCAAGCGTCATCCTCCACCACCCTCAACCCAATCCCAAATTACTAACAACCTTCTCCCTAACAGCAAATTCCCATCTTCCAGTGTTCACAGGAAACCCAAACTCCACCCTCATCTAAGTGCTCATCAGAGTCCCCTTCCTAATATCAACAGCAGCCTCATCCCTGATTTTACCTCATCCTTACTCCCCAATACTGATCCCAGCCCTTACTCTACTGCCAGCCCTAAACTCTGTGTCAATCTTCCCTGCAACTCCACCTCAGCTCTCCTTACCCACCCTGACTCCAAACATTATCTAAACCTACATCTAAACCTTAGTCTGGAGCCTTAATCCTCACCTGATGCTACACCGCAACTCAGTGCCAGCCTCAGCCCAGCTTCAACTCTTTCCTTCCCCCTCATATTTAGTCATTCTTTCAGCCACCCCTTACTGAGCACTTAGCTGTGCCAGGCCCTGCGGTGGGTGCTGGGGATGTACTCCACTCCCAAGCTAAGGCAGAAGACCAAAGGATCAGAGCTACCTCCAAGATCATCATGAGACAATGGCATAATGCTGCCTCAGAAACCAGTTTAGGCTATATTTATAGTAATATAATTTGGGTGAATTTCTACCCATAGTACCTCGGTTCAGGGAAGCGGGTAGTTAGGCCAGCACTGACATCCCTGGAACCTAAGTGTGGGGCTGAGCAGGCAATAGTTCTCAAGCTCTCTCCATCTCCAAAGTCCTCACCCAGAAAGGACCTGACCCTGAGCCTGCTCTGGAAAACAGACATCAGCAAAAATGGAGTGGGCCTTCTCAGTAGACAGTGATTTTCCTGTCCCTGGAGGTATGTGACCAGAGGCTGCATGTCCTCTGGGTGTAAAAAGACAGTCTGCCACTAAAACCTCTCTGAGCTGTTGTCTTTTCATCTATCAATGGGAAGGATAATAAATCATTGCCCTGATTTCCAACTAGGGCAAGGACCAGATGAGATAAAGAAGTGAAATCAGCTTGGTATATGCCACTGACAATTACAGATATTATTGCTTTTTCTGGATGGCTCAATCCATAATTCTAAAGGATTTTCAGATGGTCAGGTTTTCAGATCCTGCACATTTAGCTGCTATCTGTAATCAAGAGAATTATATTAATTTATTCTCTTGTTCATCCATATTTTCATTCATTCATTATAGCCTTTGCTTCGTGCCAGGTGCTATGCTGGGCACTGGGGACACAGAGATAAATTATTCCCCGCTGCTGAGGAGTTCACAGTCCATTGAGAGAAATATGACATGCATCTAACGTATAACAATGGAATATTTGTTGAAGATCCACTGTGTACTTAGCACTGAGCGGGGTGCTGAAATATGACAGCACTGACCTCCCTTTGAGGTACACAGACAGTGTGGCACTGGTTCGAACCTGGTCCAAACCTTGGCTTTGTCACTTAATATCTATGTGAATTTGGGCAAATTATATCTGAATCTCTTTTTCCATCTTTGAAATGGCAATAGTAATACTTGTCTTATGGAATTGTTGTGATGATTAAGTGAAATTACATATGAGAGTGACTAGGACATGTTGTAGTTGCTCAATAACAGGAAGTTCCCTTTCCCTGGTTCATGGGTGGGGTAAGTGAAGCTCGGAGTATAAAAGTGAATTATCCAAGATCTTCTAGCAATGTCATAGCAGATTGAGATTTAAAGAACATTATTTAGGACCATCCAAGGGCGAGATGCATTCACACATTTGCAACCCTGGCACGTCTTCTCTCCATTTTACAGATGAGAGAACTTGAAAGCCATTAAGTTACTATCAGGGTGTGCCTCAAGCCCAGGCTTGTCCTGCTGCACAACTGTCTAAATCTAGCCTGGCTCTTTTATAACCTGCTCTACTCCAATCATTTGGGAAAAAAATACTCACTGATCTTTTACTGTCTTCTGGGCACTGTGCTAGCCCTTAGAGACACAGAGATGCATAACCCCCTCAGCACCCAGCCAAGACCCTATCCTCCACTACCACCCTCTTCCCTATATACCCCTCGTAGTTCCTCCAGTTGCCTTGGACACTTGATGTGCTTTAATGACTTAGATATGAGGTAGTGGGTTGGACGGATTGAGCTCTGAGGTCACATCACATGTTAGTGTGCTCCCATCCTATGACCCCAAGGGCAACTGAAAGGTTCTAGCCTTCAGGGCTGACTCTTCCTCAGTTTAGACATAATGTAGTTCATAAACATCACAGACAATTGTACAGTGGAGGGGAACCAAAGGTCCTCAGGACGTCTAGGTGATCAGTGTACTCCAAGCCCTGAAACAACCTTTCGGGCATGCTCCTTTCAGAGCCCCACCACTGCAGGATAGAGACTTTGTTTTGCTCGGGACTCCATTTGCCCCTTTTCATAAAAGCTAGCCCTTAAAAACATATAAATCTCCAGGAAAACACTGTTTCCTTTGATAGTACTCAAAGAGAATTGCTGTCTTTTAAAAACATGTCTCAAGAAGTGAAGACTCTGTGTAGACAAGCAGCTGGTCTTATCACTGTCTGATCCACTTCCACTACCCTCTATCAATAGTTCTGTTTTTGACCAGGATGTGAGCCAAAAGGCAGCAGCCTTGCTGGAAGGCAGAATTGATGGTCAGGCATTGTGTATTTCACTGTCTCATTTAATCTTTACGGACACCTAGTGAGATAGGAACCTTTATGAATGAAGAAAATGAAGATCAAGAGGTGAAGAATTTTTCAACTTACATATGACAGAACCAGGATTCAAACTTAGAATTGTCTGACTCAAAAGTCCTAACAAATGTTGGACTACGCCTGCAATTCTTTTCTAGGGGATCACAGTGGGCTGTCTCTTGCAGAGTCATAAATTTGTGAAATCCTAGTCATAAATATGTGAGATTGGATTGAAGAACTAGCGGTTCCTCAATGCAATTTCTCACTCAGGACAGGAATATCTAACTTCATTGAAAGGTGTACTCATCCAGGTATTCTGTGCAAACTTGTCCAATAATAGGGAACTCACCACATCTTGAGGCAGTACATTCACCATGGGAGAACTCTGACCATTTAAAGTTCATCTTATACCAAGCACAAATTTTTCCTTCTTGGGGCCTCCCTTGCTCTCTCCCAGTTCTGTCCTTGGGGGCTAGTTCCTCTGTCCCCAGAGAGACCATAAGAGACAGTGCCCACTCCCTGACTGACCCTTGATCCAGGATATATTGCTCTGATATATCCCATACTTCTCAAATGACCCTACTTTTAGAGGGCCCTTTTCATTCAGGTGCCCATAGACGTCCTTCGTAAAGGGTATGGTCTCAACCTGAGCACAAATCTCCCAGATAAGAAAGAGCCTTATAAACAGTGAGTACATCTCAAAAGAGGAAATAACGTTTAATTAAAGTACTTACAAGAACTAAAATATACTACATGCTCTATGTGGAGAATGTGAAAAGGAAAAGAGAAATAAAAAAGGAGAGAGATCCAGTGTCTTAGCTTGGGTTCCCCAAAAGACTTAGAGACAAGGATTTGAGGGCAAACAGTTTATATGAAAAGTGATTCTAGAAAACACTGGTAAGGATGTGGAACTGAGGATGGGGAAGGAAGGAGCGAAGGATGGTGTTACCAAGCAAGTCACCACCGAGGGTCACCAGAGCTTAAATCTGCTGAACTCTGGCAGCCAGTGTAGAACCTATACCTCAGAGTCATCCCACCTAAGGGCCAAGGGAGCTGGGCATTAACACACCATTTTCCATCAGTCATTGGTTGTGTGCTGATGGGAGAAGGGAGGCATTAATTTTCCTGCACTTCTGACCTGCTCACTGTGTAAACAGAGACTGTTCTGGGCCCAAGAAAGCCCTCAGGCAAAGAGATACACACAAATGCTGGCATTTGAAACTCTGGCCAGAATATTTCACAATTCTAAGACCCAATGGGACACAGACAGGACATCTACAGCCTAAACTACACCTAGAGTCCGCCCGTTAACATTTTGGTATATTTCCATGCAAATGTACATATGCACAGTTTTTTATATATTTATTTACTGAGTTGGGGTTATGGTATATTTTTAGTAGTTTCCTGCTCTCTTCATTTAACACGATCTCATCATAATTTAGCCTTTATCTTAAATATTATTTGAAAACATGTTCCATTCCATTACATTGGATACAGGGAGTATCCGATAATATATTTAGCCATGGGAATACAGACTCTTCAAAGTTCTAAGGTGTTTCTGTTCAGTGGAAATTAGCCATCAGCTAGTTAGCCATTAGCTGGCTGGGAGCAAAATCAGGTCCAGGAGGGAGGTTGGCAGAAAAGCTGTAGAAGGGGTCTGTGATGTTGTGATTTATAAGATATTTGGTCTTCATCCACAGTTCCAGGCACACAGCTCCCAAAACTCTTGGAATTTCCTAAGTGTTGAAAATAATAAAGGTATCTTTTGTTATGTTAACGGAGTGACTTTTGGACACCTCCCAAGGGTGGAGCTAGTTGCCAGGAGAACCAAGGGCGTGAGCCAGAGGTTCGGAACTTTCAGTCGCCATCTCCTGACCTCTGGAAGGGAAGAAGAGCTGGATATTTAGTTCCATTGTCTATGGCCAATGACTTAGCCAATCATGACTACACAATGAAGCCTCCCTAAAGACACAAAAAGACAGTTTGTTGGTCCTTTTTTTCCCCTTTTTTTCTTTCTTTTTTTTGGGGGGAGAGCTTCCATGTCGGAAAACCAGAATTTTCCATGTGCCACCAGGCCCCAAAATCCATAGATTTTTTTTTTTTAATGCCTACAGCACCCAGTGTTCCTAGTTGGTCTCCCATCCAAGTACTAACTGGGCCGGACCATGTTTAGCTTCCGAGATCGGACGAGATCGGGGGCGCATTAAAGGTGGTATGGCCGTAGACTGAAGCTCTTTTGTTTAGGACCTCACCCAATGCATCTCAGCATCTGGCTATTGATTCGTATCCTTTAATATACTTTATAATAAATCAATAGTCTAGTGAGTAAATGTTTTTTCTTGAGTTCTGTGAGCCTCTCTAGCAAATTAATTGAACCCAAGGAGGGGATCATTGGAACCTCCACTCTATAGCTAGTTAGTCAGAAGCACAGGTAAGACCCTGGGCTTGTGTAGCTGGTATCTGAAATGTGTGTGTGTGTGTGTGTGTGTGTGTGTGTGTGTGTGTGTGTGTGTGTGTGTGTGTGTGTGAGGGGGTGGGCAGTCTTGTAGAAATGAAGCCTTACCTGTGGAATCTGATTCTAACTTGGGTAGATTGTGTCCAAATTGAGTTGAATTCTGCTGGGGTCAGAGAATTGCTTATTGATGTGGGGAAATCTCCACATACACCTTGGAATTGGGTCTGGAAACCCTTTTCGGAGTCGTAGGTAGTAAGGGCACACAACAAAGCCTAGTGCCTACCTATCTCCTACCTTGGGAGAACATCTCATAGTACCTGACATACGGTAGGTATTGAACAGTATTGACTAACTGCCTACTATGTGCCAGGGCTTGTACAAGGGGAGGACAAAGCCAATTTGAACATGGTCTGAGTCTGCCTTCAAGGAGCATAGCAGTGATATTTTGAACACCTACTATGTGCCAAGAATATGACATATATCATTCCTCTTCAATACCACCTGTGAGGAGTTATGTTTTGATCATTCTCACTTTTCGGATAAAGAAACCGAGGCTCAGAAGGTTAAATAGCATCATCAAGATCTCAAAGTTAGTTATAGAGCTGATCCTAACCAAAGTAGGTCTGGTTCCAAAGCTCTATGCTATTTTCCCACCACATGGAGTTGCCTGACCCCATGAGAAGTGCTAAAGACCCTGAGGAAAGTGTCCTTGGGTGGATTAGCCTGGCATGGGGGAAGAAAGGGGAGAGAAAGATGACCAAAGAAGGCATTATTGAGAAGAAGACATTTGAGATGGGCTTTGGGAACAGGTAAAATTTCAGTGCAGGGAGATAATGGGGAATGATCATGTGAAACAGGAAAGATAGTGGCCCCCAAATGAGCGAGGAGGTAATTGTCTAGAGACTAAGCGACCAAGGTCTGACTTAGGGCAGAGGCAGTGAGTTCGGAGATTGAGGAACCAGTGGCTGGGAGGCATTCTAGATGTGGAGTCCACAGTGGTGTGACGACCTACTGGAGAGTGGCACAGAAATTTCCTTGAGGCTGGAAGGATAGATGGTTTTTAACTATGTGTCTTGATTTTTAAGAAACAGTAGTATGGATACAGCTCTTTAAAATCATCTCCACTCCCTGAGGTGGGAAAAGGTTGAGGAAAGTAGGGAGGGATGGAGAGGAGAAGAAAGGGAACACATACCAAATCCCAACTACATAGTGGCACTGAGGCATGTCATGTTATGTATGTGAAGAGTACTTGGCATAGAATTGATACTCTTTCCTATGCTTAGACACAGGAAGTCTGTTCAAGACTAGTAGAAACAGAACAAAAGTTGAAGCTGGCTGATTCCTGTAACAACTACAATGCTTCTCCTATAACCTGCTGCCTCCTAAGTCCCTTCCTGATACTCAGCCCCTCTATCTATGGTCTTCTTTTCCCAGTATTGGTGCTCTTGTGGGCCTGTCCATAGCAGCAGTGGTCCTCCTGGCCTTCATTGTCACCGCCTGTGTGCTTTGTTACCTGTTCATCAGCTCAAAGCCCCACACAAAGTTGGACCCAGGCTTAAGCTTACAGTCTGCAGGTAAGAAAGAGGCCACGTGATTTTTTTGTATTCATCAGACTGGCATTTTTACAGAGGGGAGATATGTAGAAATGATGTTTGGAACATTTGCCTCACAAAGTGTTCCTGGAATATTCAGAAACAGCAGCACATTTCCCAGGACATTCATGATCTGAACGTTTCCATCCTAAACTCTTCATGTGCTCACTGTTTACTAAAATAATTAGATATAGTCAGTATTCTACTTGTTACACAAAGATTACTCTATCTTGTGGATTTTCTAAGACGTTTTAAGTGTAGCCTTAGAATATGCATATATTACCCCCACAAAAAACAATAAGAAAAGTTTACTGCTCACCAAATTCAATTTATTTAGAAACTAAATAGAAGTATTTTTTAGATACTCTGATGTCCTGGACTACTTATTTCTTCATTAGCACGGGCCACCTAGAGCTTCTCTACAGGGCCAAAAAAAAGTGTTGTTTTTTACACAAATCTTTATCGTATACATTTTTACAGCCTCTGCAAAGTATTGTGAAAGATATAAGTCCCTATTGGCAAAAGATCTTTCAGTACAGTTTGGTAGATAACACTCAAAATGAGTATTATCTCCATTTTAGAAATGAGAAAATCAAGGCTGAGAGAGATTAGGTGACATATTCAAAGTATTACAGGTAATAAATGGTAAAGCTGAAATCCAGCCCATGTCTTTCCACCTTTAGTCATGCTCTCTTTTTCTTTGGTTCACCACACTGGGTCTGTGCAGGTATATCATTAAGTACAAAATAGTTTGATATCAATGTAAGGAGGTTTTCAAAAAGGAAAGGATACTTGAATTAGTGTTAAGTTAGTGAAGGAGTTGGTTAGGCAAAATAGAGGAGAAAAGGCATTCCAGGAGAGAGAAAATAATGGGTAAAGTTGTGTGGGCAGGACTGAGTGAGACCTATGCAGTGACAAGGTCATTCACTTTAGGGTACCATAGGGAGTAAGGCTAGACTGGACAGAGGAGGAATTAAGCTAAGCAGAAGCAGCAAGGATGGCAAACATCAGGGAGGGAGAAGAGACTGGGTGGGTAATAGCTAAGAATCAGAGAAAGACAAGAGGGCTGAAAAATTTGTAAAAAATTATTTTTTTTAACTTAACTTGTGCAACAAACAACCAGTACAGGCACCCTTCTCAGATCCTAATGACTCCCGCATTGGCTGAGCAGTGAAAAGCAGGAGGGATGGCTTTTGAGAGTAGAAGGATTTATCTGGCTCCCCTTGGAGTCAAGAAGTCCTGGAAGGCAGTGGTAGGAGAATAGAAAGAAAGCCTGAAGGAGAATAGACCCAGCCTCAGGGAGACCAAAGACAACCCACGTTTCAATTTTTAGAGAAAAATCATAAAAGTTAATAAAAGGCAGAAAAGAACCTGATAATCCAGTGACATATGACAAGTATATGGATAGGAGGAAGGCTTAATATCGAAGACACATCAGCTCTTTCTAAATTAATCTATAAATTAATTAAACATCCCAACAAAAGATTTCATGCATTTTGTCAAATTAATTCTAAATTAATCTAGAAGAGCAAAGGTGCAAGAGGGAACAAAACAATTTTAGAAAAGAAAGAAGAGGAGGGTCTTCTCCTATAGACAATAAGACATTTTAAGAATTTGTCAGTTTGATATTGGCACAGAAATTGACAGAAAGAATTGAGCAATATAGTGTCCTCAACTGGGTGTGCATTTGCTCTCCAAGGACATTGGCAATGTCTGGAGATATTTTTGGTTGTCATTATTGGGTGAGGGGTGCTACTGGTATCTTTTGGTAGAGGCCAGGGATGCTATTAAATATCCTACAATACAGAGGACAGCACTCTACAACAAAGAATTATCCAACCCAAAATATCAATAGTAATGATGTTGAAAAACCCTGAAATAGAGAGTTCAGAAACAGACTAATTAAAATATAAGAATTTAAATAAAACGTTTAATTTTAAAAAATAAGGGGAAAATGGCAAATTTGCCTACATAAAATGCAAATAGACATTGAATACAAATAATACAAAATACATTATACATAAAGTTAAAAAACAAGTGGTAGATTGCAAAGAAATTATAAATGTAAGTACACACATACAGGCAATCCTCATTATTTGCAGATTCAATATTTGAGAATTTGCCTTCCTGCTAAAATGTATTAGTAACCTCAAAATCAATACTCACAGTGTTTTCAAGGTCATTTGTGAATGTGAACATGCAAAGAGCAGCAAAAAATTTGAGTTGCCCCATCATACACATTCCTAGCCGAGGTTGAACAAGGCCTTGCTCTGCCTTCTTTCAGCTCTCAGGCTATAAACAAGTATCCTTTTCATGGTATATTGAGTGCCATGTTTTTGCATTTTTATGATTTTTGTTAATGGTTTCACTGTTGGAAATGGCCCCCAAAAGTAGTGCTGAAGTGCTGTCTAGTGTTCCTAAGCACAAAAAAAGGCTGTCATGTGCCTTGTGGAGAAAATACATATGCCTTTGTTCAGGCAGAAGTTATAGTGCTGTTGGTCATTAGTGAATGAATAATATTAAATAAGTTCTCTTTAAACAGAAACACACACAAAACAAAGTTATGTATTGATCTGTTGACAAAAGTGTTGTGACTATAGGTTCACAGGCACCTAACTTTTAACAATTACATCGGCCAAAGTCCAAAAGTGGATCACATTAATAGTGATAAGTTTGGGTGGGGGGAATGGATACTCTCACATACTAGTAAGGGTATAAATTGGTACCACTACTTTGGAAAGCAATTTGGCAATATCTGTTTACATTAAAAATGTATACTCTATAACTCAGTAATTCCACTTCTAATTATCTGCCTTCGAGAAATAGTTACACTAGAAGAAGACTTATTAAGATGGATAGCTTGTCATATTGGAAACAAACTAAATGTGTACCAGGAGAGGAATAATGAAATATGATACCACAGTTAAAAGGAATAAACTATGTAGAAATAGACCATTTCATTTGCTCTTCATAATAACTGGGCAGGGTATAGCACTTATTACTATCTATTTTAAAGATGAGGAAACTGAAGCCCAAGTCACCTAGTGAGTGAACGACAGAACCAACTCTACGTCCACTATCCTTCCTCTCCTTATCCCTGTGCTGTGAAAGGGAAGTCCATACTATGTGCCACACATCATTTGAAACCTTAAATGCACTTTCTCACCTAATTTTCTTTTCCCAACAACCCAAGTGAAGTAAGTATTATTATCACTCATTTTATAGATGTGAAAACCAGGCCTCAGAGAGGTTAGATGACTTACCCAAGGCCTTGGTCACGGTTTGTAAATTGTGGAGCTGGAATTCAAATGTATGTGTTTTTATGCCTCCAAAGTCCTATTCTACTTTCCTTACCAGGCTGGATCTATAGGGCGCTCCTGCTTGTGTCCAGTCCCCTTCATTTCTTCGCACCCTATCTCCCCCCTCAGCCTTTCTGAATTAAAAAGAATACAGTTTATCCCTTGGCCCTGTGAGTAAAAACCATCTTCCTACTCTATACTACTCAGCCACCAGCTGGATTATTCAGTCGTCAGAGTTTGACACAGCTTGTGTTCTTGCTTTTTGCTTCTTATTTTTAAGATAGAAAATGCATTTCCTGACCTTTTACTAAATGATAGCTTTCAGCTCGCTCTGTCTTTTGCCCAGATGCAGCCCTTAGTCCCTCCCTTTCTTTTTTATTAAGCGCTGTCCTCTCCTCGGAAGCCTCTTGTTCCTCCTTCTGCATCTGAGATAATTTACAAGCTCACTATCTTACATTCATCAGAGCTTTACTCTTTACACAGACTTTTGTTTTTGTTTGCTGTCTCCCTCTCCAGTAGGACTTGTAGAGAGATCATTAGCTCCATTTTAAGGCAGAGGAAACCAAGCCTCAGCCAGGGGATGTAAACTGGCCAAGTCTACACAGCTAGCGGGCACATATTGCTGGGATAGCAGCCCTAATCTCCTAAATTCTAAAGCCTATGATCAGTGCACTGTACCTCAGGGTCCTAATCTCTGAGTGTGGGGACAAGGGCGGGATGCGGAGTACCTTGGCAAGAGCGGAGTGGAAATCGAACAGTTTATGAAAACAAGCTCCTTCTGCTGCCCAGGCATTCTGTACTGTCGCATCATGCACCCGCCCCCCTCGCCCCCAATCCCCCATGGTGCTTTGTGAGGAACTAGCTTAATCCAAGGAGTGACCAAGTTCCTGCTATTGTGCTAGATGCTATGCTAAGGACTTTAAACATATTATCCCATTCAACCTGCTCAACTACTCTGCCAGGTGGTTATTATCAACCCTATTTTGCAGATGAGGTGATGAGATTAAGTGTGGAGTTGATATTCCAACCTGGGTACGTTTAATAAGAGACCAAAAAAATTAGGGAAAACATGCAAGAGTTCAATTCTCATCCTCTTCTGAAAAGTGTTGGTGAGGAAATCATTAATCAGCTATTCTCATTGACTTAAGTGGCTCCTAGAAATCAAGTCTGATACTCTCAATGTACAGATGGGGAGCTGAGGCCCAGAAAGGGACAATCATGTGCCCAATGTCACCCAGACAACTGGCCAAGCCTTTGTCTCCTAGGCCAGAGATCATTCCTTGCAGCAGCCCCTCTCACCTTCCAGAGATGGTTCAGTTGCCTCAGAGCCCACTGCTTTTTAATTAACTACACTTGGTATCTATGACCCAAACAAGCTTCAGTGATGAGTCGGTCTTATCTCATTTCCAAGCAAGGAGAGAATCTGAGAAATCCTCTCCTGGCTGGTCACCACGGGCTTGTCCCAAATTCAAGGTTGAGGACCTCAGACAATCGGGGGACTGGCCACAGAGGTCTTTGGAGAAAGGTGGGAAGGCACACCCTGGTCTGGGACATCAGAGAGCCTGGTTCTAATCTTGGCTTTGTCTTTCTCATTGTGTGGTCTTAGGCAAGACACTTCTCTCTGGGCCTCAATTTACTCTGTAAAATGTATACAGTAATATCTACTAAGAAAGTTGTAAAAACTAGAGGTAATTCTTACATAGGAGCTAATTAGTTTCTGACACATGATAGGCTTTTAACAACTATTAGCTCTCATTTTTCTTATTATTAGGCACTTAGATTTTTACATGTTAGTCTTCTCAAAGAGTCTATTGCTATCTCAAAGATAGAATGTGTCTTACATGCCTTTTGTTTCTCCAGGACCTAGCCCAGTTCCTTACATATACTAAGGGTATGCTTATTCTGTGGTAAGTGTCCAAGATTTGGAATCAAGCAGAATGAAAAGTGATTTCTAGATCCAATACATAATAGCTGTGTCCATACTGACTTTCTCCGTCTGGGCCTCAATTATTTCTCTATAACATGGAATAATAATATCCATCTCAGAGTGTTGTTTGGATAATCAGTTAAGATTGTTGTACCAGCACATTTTAGCCAAACATGAATCTTATCTTAACTACTCTGCTGTTCAGAGCTCCACATTTTAAGAGGGACTTTGACCAATCAGGTGATCAGAGGCGGCTTGGTCTAGGAACCAGGTCATGTGAATATCAGCTGAAGAGCTGGGGACATTTGGCCTTAAGTAAAGGAGTCTGGGGCTCAGATCTCTGTTAGGCTGTCTTAGAGCATGAGGAGGAGAAATTTTGTGAGAAGCCCGAGAAAAGAGCTGGGATCAGTGCGGAGAGCCATAGGAAACAGATGGTCATTCAAGAAAGGTAGACCTTTCTTAGAATGAGACCTGACATACTCTTGTAAAGAAGACCCTCATCATTCTGGGCTATTTGGTTAATCAATTTGTAACTCTTGACTTAAAAAAAAAAAAAAAAAAAGCACCCCCAAGCCTGGAAGGTAATCAGGGAAAGGCTGAATGTGGGATTCGGCTAAGGGGATTCTCACATTGAATAGAAGGTTGAACTAAATACCTATACCAAATAAAATGCCTTAAAATGCAAGCTTAAATAAATCAGAATCCCAAGGAATGTACAAAACACACACAGAGACACACAAAACAACCTCTTGGAACCAATAAGTGCATTTAGTAAGGTCATAGTATATAAGGTCAGAACCAAACATCAATTGTATTTATACATATATTAGCAACAAACAATTGGAGACCACAATTGAAAACACAATAATATCATTTATAGTCATTCACCCCAAAATGAAATAACCACATATCTGACATAGTATGAAACTAATAAAACATGTATAGGATCTATATAATAAAAACTACAAAATGCTGATGAAAGACATCAAAGATCTAAATAAATGGAGAGATATATCATATTTATGAATTGGAAGATTCAACATAGTAAAGATAAAAATTGCAGCAGTTCTTTTGTATATATAGACAAACTGATTTTCAGATTTATATGGAAAGACAAAGGAAATAGCTAAAATAATATTGAAAAAGATTAATAAAGTTGGAGGAAATCATACCACCTAGTAAGATTTTAAGACTTATTATATATTAGCAGTAATCAGGACAGTATGGTATTGGAGGAGGGACAAACACATAGATCAAGATAGAGTCCAGAAGTAGACCTACATCATAAGAATGTCTAACAATTTTTTTGACAAAGGTGCAAAAGCAATTCAGTGGAGGAAGAATAGTCTTTTCAATAAGTGATGTTGAAACAACTAGACTTCCATAGGTAAAAAAAAATAAACATTTACCTAAACCTCACACCTTAAACTTTATACAAAAATTAACTCAGAATAAATCATAGATCTATATGACTTACCTTTCCAAAACTTTTAGAAGAAAACAGAAGAAAATCTTCATGACCTGGAGTTTGGCAAAGTCTTAGACAAGGCACCCAAATCACAACTCATTTAAATAAAAAATTGGTCACTGGTCTTCATCAAAATTCAAAATGTTTGTGGTGCTAAATACCCTATTAAAAGGATGAAAAGAGAATCCCATTACTGGGCAATAATCACATATCAGATAAAGGACTTTTGTCTAGATTATACAAAGAATCCTCAAAACTCTGCATTAAAAAAACAAACTATCCCATAAGAATATGAGTAAAAGACTTAAACAGACACTTCGCTGAAGAGGATATACAGATAACAAGTAAGCATTATATGAAAATATGTTTCACCTTTATTAGCCATTAAGGAAATGAATATTAAAGCTACAGTGAAAGACCACTTCACACCTATCAGAATACTAAAGTAAAAACACTGACAATGCCAAGTGAGGAGTGGAGCAACCGGATCTCATACCTTGCTGGTAGGAATGTAAAATTGTACAGCCACTTTGGAAGACAGTTTGATGTTTTCATAAAGTCAAACAAACACTATATTTATTAGTTTCCTACGGCCACTGTAACAAATTACCACAAATTTGGTAGCTTAACATAATAGAAATTCATTCTCTCATATCTCTGGGAGCCAGAAGTTCAAAATCAAAGGCTCCAGAGAAGAATCTATTTCTTGCCTCTTCTGGTGACTGTCAACATTCCTTTGCTTGTAGCTGCAATCACTCTAATCTCTACTTCTGTCTTCATATAACTCTGTGTGTGTGTCTATCTCACTCTGCCTTTCTCTTATAAGGGCACTTCTGATGGCGCTTAGGGCCTATCTAGATAATTCAGGATAATCTCTTCATCGCAAAAGTTTTTAATTCAATCACACTTGCAAAAACTTTACCATATAAAGTAACACTGACAGAGATTAGGACCTGATATCTTTGAAGGCCAACATTCAGCCCACTACACCATACAAATCAGCAACACACTCGTAGGTATTTATCCTAGAGAAATGAAAGTGTACGACTGCACAAAAACCTATACACAAATGTTCATAGCTGCTTTATTTGTAATAGGCAAAAACTGGAAACAACCCAAATGTCCTTCAGTGGACAAACAGTACAATCATACAATGGAATATATGCAGCCACGAAAATGAATGGACTATCCATACACACAACTTGAATGGATCTCAAGGGTATTATGCAGAATGAAAAAAAGCCAATCTCAAAAGGTTGTATACTGTATAATTCCATTTACATAACACTTCTGAAATGACAAAATTATAATAATGGATAATGAATTAGTGGTTGCCAGGGATTAGGTTTAGGAGGAAGGTCTGACTGACTGTAAACGGGTAGCATGAGAAAGTTTCTTTGTGGTGATAATCATTATTTATTCTGATTGTAGCAGTGGTTACATAACTCTGCACATGTGATAAACTTTCACAAAAAAGTACATATAAAAACTAGTAAAATTGAATATGATCAGTAGTAGTTTACTTAATAGTATCATATCAATGTCAATCTCCTAGTTTTGAAATTGTTATGGTTATGTGAAAGATGTTATTAATAGGAAAAGCTAGGTGAAGGATACACTAGAACTCTTTATTTCTGTTAATTCTTATGAGTCTAAATTGTTTAAAAATAGAAAGTTAAAAACAAAACAAAAGAAGAAATGTATTGACTCTATAGGTAAGAAGTCCAAATATAGGGGGTGGGCTTTAGGCATGGTTTGAATAGAAGTTCACAATGTCCTCAGGCTTGTGACTCCATCCTCTGAGAGTCTCTCAACTCTGCCCTGTATTTGTATTGGCTTTCTCCTCAGGCTGACTTTTCTCATGGTAGTAAGTTGGCTGCCAGCAGTCCCTGGGATTACATGATTTTTCTTCCCTTCCAGCCAGGAAGAGAAAGAGGGAGCTACCTCTTTCTACAAGAGAAAGAGTGAGGAGAGGCATGAGCTCTACTCTGATTGGACCACCGTAGGTCATGTGCCCACCCCTATCCAGTGCTATGCGATGGTTCAGATCGATCAGGCCCCACTTCTATAGCTGGAGTGGGGCCAATTCCACTCAAAAATATGGTATGGCAAAGCATAGAATTTATGAGTAAAGAGTGATTTGTAATGAAGCTGAAAAGATGGGACCAGTATGCGAAGAGCCTTGAATGCCACCTCAAGTATTATAGGCAATGGGATGACATTGAAGGCTTTTGAGAAAGAATAGCACATAGACTCACTCGACCTTACAAAGATCTCTGGCTACCGCCTGGAGGATAGACTGGAAGGGCCTGACTGGAGGCTGTTCCAGTCCTCTGGCCAGAAGATGAAAGCCTGACAGAGGGTGGTGGCCTTGAGGATGGAGTGAAATGACTGAATATGGCAGATGGTGGAATCAGCAGGACTTGGTGAACTGCTTGGCTTTGCGAAGGGGTTGGAAGAGAAGGTGTGAGAGATGACTCACATTTCTGGCTTGAACACTTGATACAAAAAAAAAACAGGAATGCTCAATTGTGTCAAATGCCGATAAGTCAAGGGAGATAAGGATTTATAAGTGACCATGGGATTTAATGACAAAACATTTTAAGGTTGGTTTGTAAATTGCAAGTAATTTGTAGCAAAATAAATCATAGATGGGAAGTAGAGATTAATAAAGCCAGGAGAGCCTCCTTTCAAACTCAGATTTAAGAGGAGAGGATAAAGCAGTAGATAAAGAAAATCATGGAATCTGTTCTTAAAGAAAATAACGTATATTTTTAAAATGTCCAGCACTTCTCTGCATACTGGCTATGTAGTAAGCCCATATCCTCATCTATAAAATGAGTTTTTAATAGTACTTACTTCATGGGTTTATGGTGGGAGTCGTCTTCGTATTGCCTAACAATTGTTTGTTGTCTGCCTCTTTTACTAAACTTTAAATTCATTAGAAACACTGACAGCTCCTACTGCATGATGTGGTATATCGTTAATAAGTATTTGTTAAACGAATGGTGCCTTTCGTGGTAGTTAAGACTCTGAGCACAGTCTTGCCCAAGGTAATCACTCAGGGAAGTTAGCCAGGGCGTGTAAACCTGAATGGGTGAAAGGAGATGCAGGAGAAAACCCCATGCCCTCAGCCTGCTGTTTTCCAGACCCTGAGGAGATGCCCCCTGATCGCCAAGGTGGAAATACAGGCAATTCGGTGGAGGTGCCAGGAGTGAGCCCTCCAGGGCAGAGTCACCCCTTCCTGAACCCACGGCTGGACTGCAAGGAGCAGGCTGTGGACCCCAAATGCCTCCTCCAGCACTGCTTCATGGCCACGGTGACCACCAGTGATATTCCGGGCAGCCCTGAGGAGGCCCCTGTCCCCAATCTAAGCCCAGGTGGACCAGCCCCATAAATCCAATAAATGTCTCTATACCATCCTCTTCTGGAGTCTCTTTTCAGTGAAAGGTGGGGGTGGGGATGATCAAAGGGACTTTGGTGCCTAGCTGGATAAATGAGGACTTTTCCCAGCAATCCCTCCCAATTCCTGTTGTGGACCTAGCTATTTTGCTCCGTGTAGCCCACCGTGGGCCAAAGGGAATTTGGACATGGCCCCTAGGTAAAATGGTCAGTAACAACTCCTTGCCATCAGGGAGAAACCTGAGGCCTGTGTAGGCTCAGAGGAGCCCCTCACCTAACCTGGGGAGTCAGAGAACCCTGACTTGGTCTTCCTGCCACAGAGCAGATATACTTAGGATCCCATGGAAGATAACTGGGACCCAGAGGCAGGTGACTCCTGCCTCTTCAGCAGCTCTACCTTACTCTTAGAGTGAACACCTTGCCAAGGAACAGAATGAGAGAACATGTAGAGTACATAGGACCCAACCATGCTTAATATCATTCAATTTCTTAGATGGATGAAAGAATGGATGAATAAGTGGGTGAAGGAATGAATGGTTAGCAGACCAAACACACAGGCTCTACAGTGTGACTCTGCTACTTCCTGACTCTGTGTGGTCTTGATAAATTCCCTTAGACTCCTTGAGCCTTGGTTCCCTTACTGGGTTATGGCGAGTGGTCAATGAGAACATGAATATGAACTCCTTTAATAAAAATGAAAGTGCTACAAAGACTTTGTATTTTCAGATGGGTATTTTCTCTGTAACATAGTAAGAGCAGATACTCTGAAGTCAAATGTCTGGTTCAAATCCTGTCCCTGCCCTTACTTGCTGGGTATTATTTGTGCCTTGATTCTCTCATCCATACAAGAGGGTATATATAATAGTAGTACCTACCTCATGAGATTTTGGAGGATTAAATTACTTAGTTCATGCAAAGTTCTTAGAGCAATATTGGCAAATGGAAACATTATGTGTTCGCTTTTTTCTTTTTTTTTTTTTTTAAATTAAGCTGATAGGAAAGGAATCTTAGAGCAGGATGCCGATCGCCACCCCTCTCTCCTGGCTGTTCTCACTCTCTCTCTCTTTTTTCTTTTGAAAATCTAATTGGCTTTATTAAATGATTCACAAAAAGGGCAGCATTCCATGTAGCAAGTACAGAGGAACCCCTGTTCTCTGCATCTTAACTTTGGCAGTGGCTTTAGGCTTTCCTCGGGAGTGCAGGGCAAGGATCAGGAAGACTCAGTAGCCACTGAAAGCAACTCTTGACATTTCCGACAGTGAAATGAACTGCTGCTGGATTTGGCAACAGTGTATTGGTCACTCTTAGATATCTGTACATGGGGCCTGAGCAAGCCAAGGGTACATGATGGGGTAGCAAGGCAGGGTGAGTTCCCCACAGAAGTGCCCTAGGCCGGAAGTCAAGATACCTCAGTTCTGGTTTTGCTTTATTTGTTGTCTTGTGCACACGTGTGTGTATGTGCATGTCTTATTTTCAGCACTCTAAATCCTTAATCCACTTCTTGTACATTCATTGGTGTCTATTCTGTGCTAGGACCTGGGAAAGTTACCAGGAACAACAGGGAATCAGCCACAGCTGCTGTCCTCAAGGGGTTTCATATGGAGGGCAAGGCAGGCACACAAAAGGGCAACTGGCCCAAGGCCATCCCTTTATGCAGCTTGAGGAAGGAATAAGTAATGTCATGCAGCTTGAGAGAGGAATAAGTAATCATCGAAAACAAGTTAAAGTTTCCAGGTGAGGCAAGGTCAGAAGACATTATGGTCCTAGTACAACCCGTGTAAAAACAGTGAGAGAGAGCCTTGCATAGCCTGGGAACTGCACATCGTGGGAGGCTTAGTTGCTGATCTTCTGTGTGACCTTTCACAGGACAGTTTCTCCTTGCTATCCTCATCAGAAAAATCCATTTTTCCTCTGAACACTTTCTGTACTGAGCTTTCTGGGGGGTGACAAGGAAGAATCCAAAACTGCCCTGGCCTTTAGTCTGATCATGGTCTCATAGGGGAGGATGATCTGTAAATTCAAAAAACTCAAGTGGTTGTCAATGACTTAAAGCAGTGGCTCTCAAACTTCAGGCTGTGTCAGAATTATTAGCTGGAGGGCTTATTAAAACACAGATTGCTGGGCCCACTTCTCTCCCCCTCCAAGTGTCTGATTCAGTAGGTCTGGAGTAAGTCCCTGAAATTTGCATTTCTAACTAGTTCCAGGTGATGCTGATGTTGCTGGTCTGGGACCACCCTTTGAGCAAGACTGGCCAGGAAGAACAAAGAGGACTCAGAGTTGGAAAGGTTAGGAGGAGACCTCACACTGAGCAGGGCCCTGAAGACCTGGTAGTATTTTCCCAGCAGGAACCTGTGTGGATGGGGTGGAGATAGGTAGAAAATAGGCTGTGTGTGCTCTGCTGCCTTTGCTGACCTACACATCCCAGGCCCGTAAAGCTCCTCCCCATCCCCCAAGTTCAGCGTCTGTCATTTGAATTCAATCAATCTTTAGAGCTCACTCTCACTGGGGATGGCTTGTCCAAGTCCTGGGTTGGAAAGAAACTGCCTACCCTGTGCAGCAGGAGCCCCCTCCCCCAGGGCTGCCGAGGAGGAAGGAAGCTGGGTGGGCTGACGCACAGACAGAAATAGTCTGAGCTCACTGCTGCTCCCAAGCACACATCGACCAGCAATTATTTCTTGTAAATTGCTTTCCCGGTTATGTTCAGAACATGTGTGTGTGCCTGCCTGGGAACAAACAATCAGAGGGCACTGGGTAGAGGTGGCTAGCTGGGGAGTCTGAATCTTCACTAAGAATTAGGGAACTGTTGAATCTGAAAATCTGAAAATATTAGAACCTTCCACTTACCTTTATAGCACTCCTGTCAGGTGGTTTCTCTCAAACATTTGTTTGTTCCTTTGAAATTGATTGACAATGATTCTCTGCCAAGGATCTAGGGTAAATGAAGTCTCAGTCCCTGTCCTCAAGGAACTCGTGGACATGGCATCTACAGGAGATCCCTAACCTAGCCAAGGCTTCAGGGAAGACTTCTTGGAGGAAGCAATGCCTGAATTAAGTCTTGAAAGACCCATTGTCAAGTGAAAGGAGGGTTATGTACAAGGTGGGGAATAGAATTCAAGGCAAAGAAAAAACAGCATACACAAAGACCCAAAGCTAAGAGAGGACACATGGTGATTTCAAAGAACAATAAGTAGTTCAGTTTTGTGGACACTATACCCAAGATGGGGAATAGTGAGAGATGAAGCTAAAGGAAAATATGGGCCAAGTCCTAAAGCTTTTTCTATATTAAGGGGCTTGGGCGTTAACCTGAGGACAAGGGAGAGCCATGCGAAAGGGTTTTCAACATGGAAAAGGAATTCAGCACCTTATCTGATAGCTTGTTCTCATGTTCTTCATGACACAGAAGTGAAATTTGCCACCCAGGAGTTCTGCTTTTCAGGCCCATTGGACACCTGCCCCTTTGGTTCCTGAAACCTCAGAAGTCTGAAGGACAGTGATGACTCTTGTGCCCACAAGAAGAAGTCCTGGAAATATCTCCTCTTGTCAGGAGGAGGAGGCCATTTCACTGCCATCCATGACACTGCTCTTCCTTTCCTATGCCCAGTTAGCTCAGGGGCCAGAGCATCGGGCAACCAAGGCCCAGGCCACAGACCAGAGCCCAGGAGAGCGACGTGCCTTGCTCTGTCCCAGAGACCTGTGAGGCTCTCATGTGTGGAGCATTCACAAGGGTGTGAATGGCTCCTTGCACGCTTTCTCCATACCTTACAGGATCAAGGTCACCAGAGTCAGTAATCCATTCGGGGAGTATTGACTGAGGACATTCTGTGGGCCCAGCACCATTACAAGCCCTTTAGGATTTAAGATACAGGCCTAACCTTAGGGACGTAGTCACTAGAGATGAAGAGTAGGTTTGACCCATGAAACCCCTAGAGAGCAATTTGAATGCAAATGCCAAGCTGTGGGGCAAAGGCCATTAGACTTGCAAGGATTCTAAAACAGGAGAAAAGAAACAGTCTGGAAACCTTTGTGGAGAAAATAGGGGTTGAATTTGACCTTGATGGACCATGGCAACATTTGAAGGGTCAATGAGGTAGAGGAAGTATTCTATAATATTTAAAGAGGATTCAAGTGGTCATAAATATGGCAGAGTGAGAGGTGTCCCCAGATCTTTCCTCTTGAAACAACAATAAGCTGAACATCTAAAACTCAATAAAAAACACCCAACCTGCACAAAAGCATGTCTGAGCAAGGGATCTGTAAATAAGAGCTACCACAGGCATCTAGCTCCCCACTCTGGAGGGACAACTGGTACCAGTTTCTTGTCTCTTTCAAAAGCTGTTCGATATCCAAAGAAACTAATATATGGGTAGAAATTATATAAACAGTATCACTATACAAAACGATAATAATATTTAAAGAGAGTTCCACTTGTGGTCTAAGGGCTTTGGACAAGTAGAACATTCAACAGCCCCACCCCCAGCCATAGTCATTCAACAAACATACACTTCATATCTTTTGCATGCCGGGCCTTTCCCTGAGCTCTAGGAACCAAGAAATGAATCAGTCATAAATCCTGCCCTTGGGGAGGTTAGACAATGATAGGTTAGACAATTAAATAGTATAGGAAGGGCTATGATTTCTTCATTCATCAGTTGAAAGATGGCTTACCACTAAGATGGATGATACTAACCTCATACATGGTGTTACATTAGTGCAATGTAACTTTGCCACCCCTTTCATTAAGCAGTGGAATATATTTTCCCATCCTTTGTTTCTGTGCTGACTTTGTGACTTGCTTTGACAAAATGTGACAGGCAAAAGTGGCATTGTGTGACTTTTATGTCTAGGCCTCAGAAGACCGTGCGGCTTCCTCCCACCCTCTAGGAATGCAGTGCCACTATGTAAGGAAGCCTAGGCTGGCCTACTGGAGGATGAAACCATGTAGAACATACATGAACTCTCCACTAGGCCTCCCAGACCAACTAGCTCCCTGTTGAACTACCAGATGACTGCAACTACTG